GCCTCTCCCTTATTTTTTGAGAGCTGTCCTAGACCTTACATATAGACTGTCACCTTGAAAGACATGAGGAATTGGGCCAACCCAGTGCAAATGGGTAATATCCACATACTGGGCTGTGCTAGATCCTATTCTGAGAGGTCTTAAAGAGGATGCAAGTAGGAATCCTACTTTCTCATTACTTAAATCACGAACATGGAGCCATATCAGCACTGAAAACCTGGGAGTAATGCAAAAATAAAATCATCTCCTGCTTGCATTGAAAGAGTTGGCATCGTGGTCTGACAAAGCCATAGCTGCCATTTCTGTGGCAGCTGATTTTAATTTGAAGACTCTCTGACAGCTTATTTTTTTGGCAATTTGACCTCAATTTGAGCAATCCTGATTGTCTCTCCAGGAATGAGGGCATACTAGATCCAACCAATGACTGACAAACTGTAGCTCACTTCTAAATGAGTGAAGTGCTATTGAGTACCCTTTGAAAACTTCAGGCATGTCTGTTCTTAACCAAATTCAGGATTCTGGGTAGTCATAGTGGTATAGGACATCTCAAAAGTAATGCTTGCGATCAGAGATCTTGAAAGGCTGGATCTTTAGAGATGGAATCTTACTCATCTGTATTTTTGCAACACATGTGGCAAACTACCAGGCATTGCTTGTCAAATATAATTACCTAATATGGACATATTTCCCATTTGGGAGAATAGATATCTTCAGGACCAGGGTAGGGTCAAGTGTTCTATCTGGAGGTTGCTGCAGACTTTGACCTCTTACAGGAAGTCTTACAAATATTAGCCTCAACATTGATAGGCTCATCCTTATTCTCAGGACAGATGGCCAGAATACCTGTGCTTGAAATTAAGGCATTTCATCTGCTGCTGTCCCCACATCCCATCTTCTGCTGTCTCCTCTTAACTATCATGCTCATGTACAGTAGCTGATGAGAATGTGAGGAGCCAGAAACCTTATCTTTGGGAGACCTTGTCCCACTGGGCTGTGTTTTGGTATCAATGCATACAAATGGGAATTGGACATAGCTGCACATGTTTATCCCGTTAACCTCCATGATTATCCCATTAACCTATTCATAGTTTCATAGTTTGTAGGGTCGGAAGGGACCTGAGTAGATCATCAAGCCTGACCCCCTGCCATGGCAGGAAAGAGTACTGGGGTCAAACGACCCCGGCAAGGTGCGTGTCTAGCCTCCTCTTAAAGACCCCCAGGGTAGGAGCCAGCACCACTTCTCTCGGAAGTTGGTTTCAGATCCTAGCTGCCCTGACAGTGAAGTAGTGCCTCCTGATGTCTAGTCTGAATCTACCCTCTGCCAGCTTGTGACCATTATTTCTTGTCACTCCTGGCAGTGCTCGGGGGAACAGGGACTCCCCCAATGCCTGCTGGTCCCCTCTGACTAGTTTGTAACAGGCCACTAGATCCCCCCTCAGCCTTCTCTTGTGGAGGCTGAACAGGTTCAGGTCTCTTAACCTCCATGCCCTTCCCCTCAATCCTTTCTCTCACTCCCAAAATTTACTCTCTGGGGGTCCCTTCTAGCAAGAGTCTCACAGAAAGAAATACTGTATTTGCTTGCATACCACACGCACCTTTCTTCCCAAAAATCAGCCCTCCAAAACGGGTGTGTGTCTGTTACAGAGAAGCTAGTTTTCCTTTGTTGGAATCGAAGCAGGGTAGAATAGAGCAAGCAGACACTGACTCATTGCTCTCAAGATGGCTACAGCTTCTCTCTGGGGCTGCAAATAGAAGGGTGGAATCCAAAGTTAACTTCTCAGCTGTTGGTGAGGCAGTAGCTTTTTGTTGAAGAGCCACTGACCTGGCTGAGGGTGAGTGAGCTGCTGCGTGCAGTCTGTAGTATCTTGATGAGAGTCGTGGTGTGGAAGCAACACTTTATTATTTTCAGGAATTTATATCAAAAGATAATTACTGTAAAGAAGTAACAGACTTGGTCCTGCCCTCACAAGGGTCTGGGGTCTAGCCTTATTGCTGTTCTGCCATACCAGGAAGTTCCTGCAGCTTCATCCAGACTGTCTCCTGAGATGTCACACTTCCTGGGCACTCTCCTGAGTCCTCAGTCACACAGTTGGCCATGGCTCTGGAAAAAATCTTTTTTTCCCGCCTATAATCTGTCTTCCAAAAATAAGGTGCATGGTTTTTTTTGGGAGTGTGTGATGTGTGAGCAGATATGGTAGTTCCATTGCCTCATCAAGAAGAAGTTTCTCAGGAGCAGAAAACAGGAGGCTTTACTTTGCCTCAGGGGGCCATACCCCCCCACCCCTGCTTTGGCTAGAGAGCAGAGGGGCAGGGCCAGCCCTGCTCTCTGGAGAAGACAGCACAGCACAGCACAGCCCAGGGCTGCAAAGCATGCTGGAGTGCTGGGGGACTCTGCTTAAACTTGAATGAGGAAGGGGTCTGGAACAGAAGTTCCCAGTTTGACCTCAGTTAGTTAAGTCTGATACTACATTCAACCAGGTTTATCTTAAACCAGTTTCAGCCATTTTGAAACCCATTTACGTGCACTGAACTTTTGTTCTGTTACAGGTGTAAACCAGTTTCTTATCATTTACATTGGTTTATGTGTAACTTCTGTCCCTAGCCAGGTTGTTAGGAAAGGGAGGGTGGGATGCAGTTGCTCCACCCTTTATACACTGGCATGAGAGCACATGAAGATAAAGGACCTGATGGATACTGTTGTTCAAAAATTCCAGTCTCGGATGTACAAGTCAGTGGTACACTTATACTACATCATCTTGGGGAACTGTAGTTACTGTTGAATAGGTAACCCTGCTTTCCTAGCAAGTATAGATGAGATGAGTAGTGCTTAATGTTACTCATCTGATTCTGTCCATATTTGCTTACTCCTTCCATGTACACACAGTATCATCTTTATCTCATCACAGCTCTTTGGGGCTGTGTATCTGTTCTGTGAGGTTTTGAGGTGGGATAAAAGATCTCTGTTCTTACTGAACTTGCTATTGCTAAAAAAACAAAACAAAACCTACTCTGGGATACGCAGTCCACAATTAATCACCTGGGACTCCTTAATTTTAATGTTCCATGAACAGCAGATGCTGGCACTAGAACATTTTAAGTGTGTTTCAAGGGACACTGAATTTTTTTAATGGACTAAGATTTTTAAAGAGCTTGCTATTACACTTGTTTAATGCCTAAAAACCCTCCCTTACAGTTAAATTTTGTTAGAAGGTATTTTTCTTCCCCCATATTGATGTGAGAGGGTTACTTTTCATCAAAGAAACATCTTATGACCTAAAAGGGATAAGCTTGTTTTGACACAAGATGAGGCCAGATGCACAAAGTAAACAGCCAAAGCAATAGTTCCTTTTGAATTCCTTGAAGTTAAAGTAATCTTAGGGGCCAGGTGTATCAGACACAGCCTTCTCAGAAGATTTTTCAAGTTGATGGTGTCACCATAACATACAGGCAACACTAAACCAGTTTATACAGCTCTCCACTTGTCTAATAGTGTCTTAAATAAATAAGGCAGTAGGATACAAGGCAGACTGCATAATTTTGTCCTTTCAGCTTTGAAAATTACACAGTTTTAATTACATTGAATTAATTAAAACTGTGAAATGATAGGGAAAAGGATTTTCTGGAAAATATGAGTTATGTATTTGACTGGTTTCTTTAAATTGCTGTTTTCTTAAAGTAATGTGATATCCCTTTTAGCTTAGGCAAAGAGTAAGTAGATTGAGCTTTTGATCATTTTTAGTGTATATTAGCGCAAGGAGCATCTGACACTTGTAAAGCTCACCTACGAGTATCACCATTTTGTGTAGGTGAGTAGATGAATTGAAGTGTGTATTTTTATTTAAGCACCTTGTAGAATCTATCATGGTTAGATTGAGGGAAGCTCAATGGACTCTTGTAATCCTTGTGTATTTGTTAAAATCCATTTAGAAAAGTTTAATATGTAAGTGAAGCCCATGTGTTAGAGCTGAGTGGACGTTTCACTGCTGTGTAGCTGAGCCAGATTTAATAATGGCAAATGTATAGATATGACTAAAAAGCAAAAACAACTGTTAGCATGTGTATTAATCTTCAGTATTTATCACTTGCCTGTGTGCCTCCTATGCACTCAAGCACTCTGAGGAGCCTTTTGGGCTGTGCTGGATCCTGCTGGCATTGGCAAGTTATCTCTTGTTCATGCTTTTTAGGTTGACTATGTACTTATAGCTCTCAGGACTGTAATTTCCCCCATACTCCCTGAAAAAAGAATGAATTAATCTGGTCTTTCTAGGCTTCTGCTAAAATCTAAATTGCACCACGCTATCTATTGTTTCAGTAGTTACTTTGCATGTTAAATTCCCACGAAGTAGTTTGAATACAAAAAATGATTTTACAGTGAAATAAATGTTCCATTCAGCTCTACAACTTTATTAAAAATCAACTTATGGCTGATGAATTTGGACAATACTGCTATTTACTATGCTTGATATTGTGTTCAAAGGGTATTGGAGATAAGCACTGTGTCTGAAGTACTGTGCTAAAATGGTAGACCTAACAATGATATTGTCTTGTTCATTTCAGAGTTAACAGTGAGATAAAAGAGGCAGTCAGCACCCGTCAGAGCCGTCATCAGTGTTACTCTGTTTATTGGAAGTCTTTCTGAGTAGCCATGAGGGTTAAAAACCTATTTTTAAATGACTTTCAATTCTGAATCACTCTACGGTGGCAAGGGGTGGATTTCATAGCCAAATAATATACAGAGTTCATGTGTTAAACCATTGCTGATTCTAGCTGCAGTCCTTCTAGGTTAGACTTTCTGGTAGCCCCAAATCCTCCACACTGTCATAGGATTTCACTGCACATTCTCTAACTGCCCCTTGTATACTACCTGTTGCTTGTCTGGCCAAATGTAGACAGCTCCATGGGGATCTGTAGTGCCTGGTTCCATGCTAGCCTCTGGGCATTTCTCAACGTACTTCTAACAGCAATTCCTTCCTCTTCCCCTTTACCTGTTTTCTTTGCAGTTTCCTCAAAGGTATGCTGTGTGCCTCTAAGAACAAATAGAGAGCTCCTTGCTGTGGCAAATAAGGGTAAGTTAAGGAAAGAAAGGTTAAGATTGAACAGGGCACAACAATTATGTGATGTGGAGATTCAGTACATGTAAAAAATTAGAAAATGGAGTTATTTTTAAGTTCAAGATTTTGTTTACTTCTTGGCAGAAATTGGTGATAATGATTTGAACAGGGTCAGGGTTGTGGCCTGATGAGTATAGCGGGGCTTGTTTGGGGATATGGAAAATGACATAGACGTATGAGAAAATAAATTTACCAAGTTCATGGTTTGCCCAACGTTTGTGTTATGTAACTAAGCTGTAGTAAAAATAAAATGTTGCCTAATTATTGTACTTTGACCTTTTTTAAGGGTTAGAGAGAATACCTAATTTCATTTTAAACAAACATTTACCTACAATCTTAAATATTACAGAAATATTATTATCTCTTCTAACAAATTACTGTCTACTAAGAAATCTCAGCTAAGTTCATATAATTTAAAAATGGTTCAAGACATACCTTTGAGTTATTAGAATATGGAACTCCTCCCCTTAAAATATCTCCTTTGGCCTCTTGTACAGCCAGATGCTAACATTAAGATTTTGGTTTTAATTGTATTTAGAGCTCTTAATGGGGCTGGGTTCCAGCTCTCTCTCTGAGCTGCTGGCACCTTACATCCCACTTCATTTTTAAGGTCTGATGATTTAGGGTTGTTAAAACCTGACAGTGGGATGGGAAAGCTTTTTTGCATCTGTAGTGCTAGGGAAGCAGTATGGCCTCCCTCCTATCCTTAAAAGTATTGTTGAACAGCTGATTTTGAATCAAGTTTCATACTTTTATATCAGAGTGGTATTAGTATAAGGATTATGTTTATTTTTTATCTGTATAACACCACCTCATGTTTCTAGAAATGAATTAATTTTGAAATCTAATTTACATTGAAATATTTATGCTTTTGGTTATTTTGAATTTTGCAGCTACATCAGCAAGCTTAATTTTTTGTAATAATGAAATCTTTATATAATAATATGTGGCTTGTTTTATATTCACAATAGAAAATTTGAAGAGTAGTGAAGAAGAGTTAATTCAAATAAAGTCTGTTCAGTGAAAACTGATTTTTCATTTGGTTTTGTGATATCTTCAGTCTAAATGATGTTTGAAGTGCCTTTATAACACATTCTTTTAGTTGAAAATGTATCACTATTTATGCCAATTATCTGTTGCATATTGTACAGTAAACCTTTTTATAGTCTTTTTTACAATATGCAAGTAAAGAAAACTATTTGTATTGTTCTTCAAAACAACTATTAACACGGGATATTTTTGTTAAGTAATACATATAACTAATGCTTTGAATTCGGCAATTTAAGAAATACTTTGCTATATCTAATTTGTTTTTACTAACCAGCTGATCTATTATATTTACTATTTTAATAATACAATTCTCTGAAAAAGCCAATACATGCAAGAAAAATTGGCTCAGCATTTTTATCAAATAGTAAAGAAGGCTTCTGGAGCTGTTTATCAGCCTTGCATAAACATGTGAAAACTGAACTTCTGCTTGAACCTGTCCTTCTCCTTTTAAAAAAGTATGGAATAAAAGGAATTCTCCTTTAGACCCAATTCTGTATAAAAACAGAAATAAATGCTTCTACTTATGAAGGAAGGAAAAACTATTCAACTGATGTCAGTAAGATGTTTGCCATCTTTGTGCATAGTTACTTGTGTGACAGTCTCCTTTGGAATAGTAGTAAATGGTTCTGGGACCCAGAATGTCAGATATATTGTCTCAGAGTACATAGCAAAAGTTATTTTAAAATACTTAACATTATATACATTTGTAAATCGCCTGTCTTTTCTCATTCCCTTCTGGCCCCCAAGACTTATCAACATTTTATTGAAGTTTTTCTTCTCTTAAAAATAAGAAATGGGTTTATACTGATTGAATTAAGACAATACTTTTTCATATATTTTGAAAATCAGCTGAAAGAGGCACCATTCACTTAAAATTTACACATTTTGGAACCTTTGTACGTGGGTCTGTATTGCTGTTGTGCCTGGAATCCTGAGTCCGAATCATTACTATTGTAGTATGCACTCGACAGTATTAAACTAAAATAGTTTCTGCCATGAAAAGCTTTAAACCAGGATGCAGCCCTGGGTATAACAACCTGGAAAGAGAAGGCAAAGGGCAGATGAGGGAAAAGATTGAGAGTCAGATGATATAGACTAGCTACCTGCATCACTGAATAACCTGCACTTATGTATAATGTTATAAAGCTGTAGTGTAAAACGCTGTATGACAATGTTACAAGCAAAGTGAAGATATGTATAAATGAAGGTCAGAGAGAGAAATATTTGGGTTCTTGTCAGCTTGCCTGTGTATAGGCAAGTTTCAGTGTTCAGCCTGCTAGCAGAGGTCCTATGCTGTTTGTATAGTGTTCACAGAGAATCCAAGGTAAGAGTAAATGTTAAGAAAATGTAAAGAACAGTTTTGGGGGGCAGGGAGGGGAGTAAAATTTTAGGGGAGGTATAGTATTTGAAACTACTTTTAATTAGATTTCAAGTTGACTGTCACTTTAAACACGTTAAAGTGTGAGATTGATTAAATATTCTTACATGTCTGACTTGGTATTTTGTAGTTGTGTTTTATGAAAAAAAATGAAAGTGGACTGACCTGGCTGTGTGTCCCACCCAGCCAAAATTCCCCATTGACTCTCTTCTTTGTGATTGAGAACTAGAAAATTGGGTCTTTGAATTACACCATCAGCATTGATAGGACTAAAACATAACTGACATCAGGAAAGTCTCCTCTCCTTCCTCACAGTTTACCTGAGCTGAGAACAGCTGACTGGCTGGCATGAAAGGCTGCAATAAAAACAAAACAAAACAAAACAAAACAAAAAACCCTCTTACCTTCTCTGCTGGTTGTCAAACCAAGAACCAGTAGGAGCTTACTTTTCTTTGAACCTCATTGTGTTTCTCTATGTGACATGTATTTTGCTGTATTCGTGTGAGCAAGCAGAATGTTGGAATAAATAATTTGTTCCTTATAGCACAAGATTTGGTTTGGAATATTTACCTGGTGTGCTTGTTTGTGTGAGTGGCATGGATAAAGTAGAAAAGACAGTTGTGATCACTTTAAAAAATACCACTGCTTGCCTTTCAAGGGTATTTTTTAGAATTGGAAGAGCAGTATTAAAGTAGATGGAAAATAGTTTCCAGTCTCTGACATTTTAGTGTTGCATTATAGTAATGTTGGACGTTATGAGGCTTGTCCATAGATACATTGTTAACCAAGCGTTCTCACAGTGGGAGGTGACTAGTAAGGGTGAATGAGGCCTGACAACAAAAGCCTTATCAGGAAGTTAAAGGCAGACCCAGGCTCTTCATCTGATTTAAAATTAACTGCAGTTGGGGAAGCTGAAGAGGCAAGGGACAACACTGAATTTAGTGGAGTTTGAAATCCCAGATGTAAGTAGTGTTGGTAGCGAGGATGTGGACTCCTCCATAGTTTTATTTTATTGGGTTCCATTTGTGAATATTTAACATTGAAGCTAATGTTGTACTTTCTGTGTCTAGTCTTTTTGCCTTTTAATTTCCAGTTTGCCTAGCTTACTTAGTTCCAGTGATTTATTGTTGAATTGCCTTATTGATGGTAATTTTTCCAAAGCCTAACTTGACTCTTCTTGAGACATTTCTTGTCTGTGGCTGACGTGCACTGATCCTAGTTTTTATTTATTTCTTTTTCTTTGCTTTTAGCTTTTATGCCATTCCCCTTCATTCACTTTCTCTGTTGATGTCTTATCTCTGTTCCTGTACTTCTGTTGTTGCATCTGTATTTCCTTCTCTGTATCATAATCCCACTCTGCTCATTTCCTCCTTTATTTCTGTCTCTCAGCTCCTAAATTTATATTAGTCTTCTCTCTTACTTCAACACATTTCTTTTTATCATCTGCTCTGCTTGCTTTCTAAACTCACCCATTCAGAGATGTTGTAAACTTCTCCACACTCTTGCCCAGGGAGCTGTGCAGGCTTTACTTTCCATATTTGTCCTCTTTTTATTCCTTAATTTTGAGGGGGAGGGGAGTGTGCTACATTTTGTTGATCAGAAGGCCAGACATAAATTGCATGAGAAGAGTTTGTCTGGGCTAGGGAGTTTGCAGTGGATGATGCTGATGACAAACCATCAGGAAGGCAGGTAATTAAGTGGGGCGAACTAAAGTAAGCCCTACCTCTACTCCAGAAAGTGTTTATACCCCAGCTTTGACTAACTCACGCTCTCTTGGGTGAAACTTAGTTTCCATAATGCTGTTTTGAAGCAGCCTGGTAGTTTCTAGCTGGAGGCTTAGAAGTGTAGTTTTCAAGTACAGCTTCATATATGGCTAAAAAGAATTTCTAAAAGCTCACCTAATAAGAACACTGAATAGAATAAATTAGGCTTTTAAGTAACACCTTTTCTAAATAGCAGCGTACTTTATGCCTGCTTGTTGGGTTTGCACTTTAGAACTTCCAATTGTCTTACATTTTTAACAGGCTGGTAGGCATGCTGTAAAATAGTCTATCTGGTGCTACATGAGCTAATGAAATGCTGGAATCCTTTTTATGTTTCTGACAGACACTCCAGTTGTGTTAAACTTGATGACTATCACTGCAGGGTTGGAATCTTTATTACTGCACCAAGTGCAATCTGGTGATTGGAACAAAAAAGATAAAAACCATGCACAGTTTTAAAGTAATCCACCCATAAAAGGAGTTACTTTGACTCTGCATCACCTTCCATACTTTATTACTGAAGAGGACAAGTTTTGGATTACGTTTTGTGGAATTCTGCAATAGTTTCAAACTTATTTGGATGTTTAAACGGATTGCCACCCCTAATAGTGATGGCTATTTATGCATATTAGTATGGAGCAAAAATTGTTTTACTTTTCTGTTAATATTTAATTTTAGTTATTGTAATAATTATATTTAAATGTTCTGGTGTATTGGTAGTGCTTCTATAGCATGCCTAGCTTTGCAAATATATCTAACATGTAGAAATGTGCTTCTTGAGTCAAATTTTATTTTGGGGACCCTGTGTAAATTACAAAAATCTTAAAACATGGTTTTATTAACCATAACATAATTGGAACTGACAGTCTTGAAGGTAAATTGTTGAAATTGAATTGGTAATCAAAATTTGTTTAATATTTTTGTCCTGAATAAATTTTCACAGAGAACAGAAAAACAGAAAGATTTGCCAGCATTGTTGCTGCCAGACTTGCACATATGTTACTTTTGATTTCACCGGAAAGCAGGTGAAATTCAGCAGCAAAGGTACAGCTAGCAGCAAAAAATGTATATTGTTTTTGATAGCGGTGTAGTGGCTCAGCTCTTTTTTAAAATTCACAACAATACAGACCTGAGCTGTATTTGAGACTAGTGTTGCTCTAATGGGTATCTATATTCGGATATCACTTACCACATATATTAGCAGGCAGTTGTATCACACTTTATTGTGATGTGGTCCCCAACTTCAGATTATTTCTCCCTACCTCTTAAAGTGCACATTTCCCCACAAGGGTTTTTTTCAAATAGATCATTGTTAGAGAGAGAGAGAAACTTAAAACCTATTTTTTCATGCTGAATCCATTGGTTTAGGCAACTCACTACCTGATCTTTTTCCCCCACTTTTTATGGTTTATTTTAATACAAACATTGAAGCTTCTCATTTCCCTCTTCTTTTTCTAATATTGCTTTGATCTGACTCTTGTTTACACAGCGTTTCTCAACCAATAACTTGTTAAACTTTTGCTTGTTTAAAATTGAGGCATAGTAGTTTTTGTATTGGGCTTATAACTAACTTGCTATATCACTGCTCTGCAGGAACCTGTTGTGCTGAAAGGAAGAATTAACTGGTCTTTCAACTTCAGCCTTTTTATTGTGAAAGGGAAGATCACAGAATTACCATGGGGAGAACAGCAGCTAAAGGTAAGGTTGGTGGCTTTCATCTAAAAGGAAAGAATATAGGGGGGGGGGAATAAAAACTACTTTGGAGTATTTGAGGTATGGCTTTAGCTATAAGAGAGAATTATTGTATGTTGTTAGACTGAAGAAGTAGGATACCAGTATGCATAGAACTTGGAACTAAAGCAAGAAAGAAAGACATGCTAAATTCACTCTTTTGTACTTCTGAAATTAACTTGAAATTTCATGTAAACTAACTGCTGTTCTCTGATAGTCTTGAAAAACAGTGTCCCATTAGAAAACTTAAATACTTATCTAAATATATTGTTAAGTAAAATATCCTTTGCTGGCTTCTATAACTACTGTATGCTTTAGAAGAAGGATACTGTATAATATCAGGAATTTGAATTTTATGGCAGTGACCTGCATCAGCAGCTATCTTTGCAAGCCTTTGTAGATAAAATAAATTATTTGTTTGAAGCAGTTCAGTTATCCACAACTTGTGGCATTCCCCTAAGGCATATCTTTTCATGTTCTATATCTGCAAAAGTTAATCGTGAATTAAATAATGGACCAATTTCAGGGGAGAGGCTTCAGCAGAAGAGAATACATTGCTGAACTAAAATGTGAATGAAATGAAAATACTGCTTCTTGAGGGGACCCTGACTGCTGGAACTGAATTTTTCCTGCTTTTCAGCTTTAAAGCAAGCATATCTAATCTTATAGAAGATTGCTAAGACTTTTTTCACTTAGTTTAAGCTCTTCATCTCTCCAGAGCAATTTTTTTCTCTGCAGCTATTACCTTGAAAATGATTGCTGGCTTTGCTGCATTAGATCTTCTGTGATGAAACAATGATGCATGCAGTAGTTGCGCTAGCTGATGTAGAGCCAGTTGAGGAAACCTATAACTTCCCTGGGTAACTTCTTGCATGTCTGTTGCCTGATACCATACAAGACTGTGACCGACTCCTTCCAGACAGTTAGGCATGAGCTCCTTCTGGTAGCATAAACCTAAAGAACAGGAAACACAGGTAGAATATGATATTCCAGATTCTGTATGCTTTAGTTTCTTGAAACTGAGTTTTTATTCTGGGGTGGCTAGAAGGGCATATACATAGTATCTGCTATATTCATTAGCAAACCATTGCTTCTTCACACCAGCTGTCATCACAGGTCTTCAGAGAGACTGAATCATCTGTGTAAGGAAATGCTGACATGTCTCAATCCTCTATTTGTTCAGATGAAATCTTGTGTGATTGAAAGAGTAATTTCTCCCCATCTGGTACCCCAGGAATGTTCAGGGGTTATGAGGATGAGAGCAAAGACTTCTTAGAGGGGGGAACTTCCTCCCATACTGTAAGACTTAGCTTGGGTTGAGGATTCCAGGTGATATCTCGGCTCTTTAGAATAAGTCCCTAACAAGTAGGTATGCAAATCTTGAGAGTGACCTTTTGTCAGCTTTCTGTCCCACAAGGACATTAAGTAAATAGTCTTGAGTCTTGAGAGAAGACAGGTGCATACTTTTCAAGTTACTATACCACATTTATTGTCTCTCCCCAAATGCTAATCCTACCCTGGGGTACATGGTCACAGTAATCGTCTCATTGTTTTAAAGACCAGCTGTGCCAAAAATGGAGTGGTCTTTCTGAAGCCAGGAAACTTGGTATTAGCAGGAACCATAAAATAGTCAACTAAATCATTTTATTGCTTCCACAAATCTGAGCCAGTGGTTCTCAGTAGGGCTGTCCTGTCCAAAGCTTTGGTAGCTGATAGGATTCAGAGGAGATTCGGCTCGATTCGGGGACCAAATCTCTGAATCGAATTGATTTGAAGCATCCAAATAGATTCAGAAAAGCTTTGGGAAAAATATTCGGCCATAGACTAAACAGGCAGCTGACACCTGCCTCCAGCTGGTAAATCTGTTGGGGTTGGGGGAGGGAGGGATTGGAGTGAGGGCTGGGACAAGCTGCCCAGCCAGGGCAGCAGGGTGCGTTACTTGGGGAGGGGCAGCGGGGCCCGGGATGCAGGCATGGTAACGCTGGGAGTGAGGGCTTTGCCCTGCTGCTGCTTTCCCAGTCGGGGTCAGGGTGGGTTGGACGCGGGCACAGCTCGCTCTAGGCGGAAGCAGAAGTGGGCAGGTGGCAGCAGGGCATAGTCCCCACTCCCAGCACTGTCGTGCCTGCATCCATGCCTGCCACATGAGCTGGCAAACAGCAGTGCGGCAGAGCCCCTGCTCTCAGTGTTGATGCAGCCGTGGTAGCGCTGGGAGCGGGGGCTATACCATATTGCCGCCTGGAACGAGTTGCACTTGCATCGCGCCCCCTGTGCGCTGGCTGGGTAAGCGACAGCAAGGCAGAGCGCTCGCAGCTCTCCCCGCTGGGGCAGAGGTAGGCGCAGCTGGAGGAGCTGCAGGAACAACCCCAGTGGCTGTGCTGCCTGGCCCCATCCCCCACCTGGTCCCAGCCTCCTGGGGAAAAAAAAATGCCCCACACTCACCGGCTGCAGGAGCAGCGCTTGGGGCCTCTGGGTGCTCATGGCAGACCCCCCCCACACACAGCGGGGAGGGCAGTGGGATTCGCCCCCTGCCCCATGGCGCAGGTGCAGGGTGGCTTGGTAGGGCACCGCGCGCTGTCTGGGAGCTGGGGCAGCTCCACCTGTCAGCCGGAGCTTCTGGTTCCATTCCCCAACTCTCTGATCATTCCCTTAGCAATTCCTGGAGGGGCACGGCCCCCAGATCTGCACACTGGGTTTCAGCAGGCTGCTGCTGCTGCTTGGGGAAATAGCTCAGAGCCGCTGCCATCCCGCATCATCTGGGGGCCCGCTCCCCCTGGGAAGAGCTGGAGAAAAGATCAGGGAACTGGAGGAATGTTCAGGGAACTGAACATTCCCATAGTCCCCGGTTCGATTTCCCAACTCCTGGTTTGATTCGCCTGGGAGGTGGGGCGGCTTCACGTGTCAGCCGGAGCCCGGTGGCACCCAGCCCCAGCTTGCAGACAGGGCACGGCACCCTGATGAGCCATGCTGCACCCATGCCATGGGGCAGCTGCTGAGTGGATGGTGTTCTCCGCTGCCCTCCACTGCTCTGCACCGTGCAGGGGGGCTCTGCCATGAGTGCCCAGAGGCCCCAATCACTGCTCCTGCATCTGGTGAGTGTGGAGGTTTTTGTTTTTTTTTAAAGTGCTGGGACTAGGCTGGCGCCGGGCGGGGAATGGGGCCAGGTAGGGCAGCCATGGGGGCTTTTCCTGTGGCTCCTCCTGCTGTTCCTGCCTCTCCCTGGATGGGGGGAGCTGCAGGAGAACCTGCAGCCACCTGACTGTGCCTGCCTTTCCCCGGCCGGTCCGAACCTTCCAAAGCTGATTTGGCCAAATCGATTCAGGACAGTGATCTGAATCTCTGAATCAAATCACTGTCATCTGAATTGGCTGAATCCAAATCTGAATCGAATACGTCCCTATTCGTGCAGGCCTCTTTCTCAACCGTTTTAGGCTCAAGGTACCCATGGATAGGGTCAAGGCACCCTTCCCAGCTCTTAGTTTTCACTCATTTTTTGACTATAGAAAAACAATAGAGAGATTCTTCTGTTGCAGAGAACTGAGAGAGACCACAACAGGTCAGAAAGTTTTTGACCCAGGAATTCCTACTTGAAATCTCTGGGTTTATCTTGTGAATCGTATTTACACACCTAACAATGCTAACAATGTGTGGCACCCCATGGCACCTTTGAAAGGATCTCATGGCATCCCAGGATGCCCTGGAACCCTGGTTGAGGATCGTTGCTCTAAGCTCTCAATTCTGAGCCCCTGGTGGATCACAAGGCAATAAAAATGCTTAGGTTGGTCTCTATTTAGTCTTTGATTTCTTGCATGATGGATGTGGTTGCTCTAGCCTCTTTTTAACTAGTAATCTCGTCAGCAGAAGCTTGTGACTAGAGGTAGGACAGATCAAATTAAAGCAGCAAACAAAATCTTGTTTAAAAGATTTTCCTTTTTAATCTTGTATTGCATTTGTAGTATTTATTTTTCTGTAAAAATGTTGATCCACATTAGTTGGCAATGGTTAAAACATTGATTTGTATTTAAATATAGTATTTACTATAAATTCGACACTACTTTTTTGCTAATTAGGAGGAAACTATATCTGTAAACATTTATTAATTCATATGGTTTAACATACATCTGTTCAGATTCTTAATTTACTTTTATAATGGTGAATGAAACATTCTTTTGCTCAGGTGATTATTAGTTTTTAAAATTGTGGTTGTTCCAGTTTCTGCTTGGAGGAGAACTGAAGTATTAAAAATGCACCAAAACATCGTTTTAATTTAAAAAAAAATTTTTTTAAACAGTTACTTTAAATTTAGTGGATACATAGGATTTCCTATGAAGAATTTCCATAGAAGAAGTTCAGCAAAACATTTTTGCATGATATTGTTAGACAAAAGTATGTTCTGTGGTTAATACTTCAAATGATTTATTTTGGGTCACTTCAGAGTTTTAAAATCGATAGGACTTCTCTGAGTGTGCCTAGCTTTCATTCATAAATTGGAAGTGGGAGCCAAGCTCTTCTGCTTTTTTTTTAAACTTCTAGTTAGCTTGTCAACTTTGAAGGTATAAGTAACTGAATAAACTGAATTCATTGAAATGAAGAAAACCTTTTTTTTCACATGTGCAGAAGAAACTATTGCTATGAAAAGCTGATTTAAAATGTCAGCAAAGTATGGGCACCTATACACGTACCAGACATCTGCTCCAATGTGTGGTAATTAGGATTATTAATTAACATGGTTCAG